TAATACAAAAGGTAAAGTGGCTATAGGAAACCCTCATACATCAATATTTACCCTAAATGTAAATAAAATGAATTCACTGATAAAGAGGCACAGAGGAGCAGACTGAATCAAAAAAAAACAAAACCCAGCCATGTGCTTCCTTCAGTAAACACACCTAAGCTGCTAAGGCAAAGTTAGATTCAAAGTGAAAAATGTAGCCAAGAACTTTCCAGGAAAAGGAGGCGGGGCCCCGGGCGCCGACCTATCGTGGCGCAGGGGGCGGAGTCGAGTGACGGAGGCTGACGCGCGTTGCGGGCTTGAACTTGACCCGGAGACGAGCTGGGAAAGACCCGATTTGGAGGAGGCCGGGAGGGGCCGCGCCTGCCCGCCCGAGGCGCCTTCCTTCGTGCGCTTCACTTCGCTGGGGACAGGCGCCTTGTTTCTTTGTAGATGGCAGCCGTGGGCGGGGTCCCAGGCCTCCTAGGCCGTCCGCCTGGTGTGCAAGCGCCTCTTGGACCCCGGACTCTGTGTGTAGGGTGGTGTGGGGAGGTGAGTGGCAGGGTTTGGGGTTGGAGAGGGATATGGGGGCGGGGGACGGGGGAGAGGAAGGGTGCGGAGGGAGGCCCCAGATCCAAGCAGGTCCGCAGGGGTCAAGTCTGTGGCTGTCGTAGCCGAAAGGATCCGGGCAAGAACGCTCTCTGGGAAAGTTCAGGGAGAAGGAACACATCCCCGAGCCTTTTGCACCTGCAAGGCCACCCAGTCTCCGCCCATGGTGGCCTCTGGCCCGCCCGCCGGCCAATCCGGGAAGTAGTGACGACCCCCCTGGGGAGGCAGGCAGGGATGGCCAGCCCCGGCAGACCACACAGGACAGCCCGCTTGTGTCTCTGGGCGGGCGGGTCTCCAAACGTGCGGAACACAATGCCTGGCTAGGCGGCAGCAGGGTGGGACTTTGATCCCAACTCTGAATCCTGAGCTCACATACCTACCTGTGGCCTTCTCCACCTTTCTCAGTTTACTGGACTCACCCAGAAGCCTTTGAAAGACCATAGGGCTGTGCACACCTCCACCGAGCCCTTCGGCCAGAAGGAGGGTGAGAGCAAGTGAGACCTGGAGCTGCACACCTCGGAGTTTAACCGAGGGAGGGGGATGAAGGTAGTGGGACGGAGCATCACACCTGATTCCGATTCCGTCCACATGGAGCTAAGTTTGATCCTCAACAGCTGGCAGTGCCCCCGTTTTTCAGACCAGAAGACCGAGCCCCAGGGAACACAATGCCTGTGGGACTTTGATCCCAACTCTGAATCCTGAGCTCACACGCCTACCTGTGGCCTTCTCCACCTTTCCCAGTTTACTGGACTCACCCAGGAGCCTTTGAAAGACCATAGGGCTTGCACACCTCCTCCGAGCCCTTCGGCCAGAAGGAGGGTGAGAGCACTGGAGAAGTGGCAGGGTCCCCCCCCCCCCCCAACTCTCCATCCAGTGTATGCCCCAGGTTCCCGGGAGAGAAGAGGAGCTCAGGTCACCCACTTCGATGCTGGGGCACCTGGAGAGCCGGCAGGGGGGCCCTGGGGAAGATAGTCCTTCCATGGGAACCGTCTACTATAAAGACAAAGGGACGTCCCAGCTGCTAAGCAGCAGAGCTAGGACTTGAAGCTTGGTTTCTACGGGGCCCAGTCCCAAGCTCTCCACCCCAAGGCTCTAGCCTTTCTCTCTCCGGTGGTTCTCAACCTGTGGGTCGCGACCCCTTTGGCGGTCGAACAACCCTTTCACAGGTGTCGTCGCCTAAGACCATCCTGCATATCTGATATTTACATTACGATTCATAACAGTAGCAACATTGCAGTGATGAAGTAGCAACGAAAATAATTTTATGGTTGGGTCACAACATGAGGAGTTGTATTTAAAGGGCCACTGCAACTGGAGCTACTTTACTGAACGCTTACTACGTGCCAGGCACTCACAGTCATTTCCACCCCATCTCGTTGTCTAACTACTACATGTTGTCCTCTCTTTACAGATGAGGAAACAGGCACAGAGGGTTACCATGGACCCTGGACCTCACAGCTAGCAGGTGGCTCTCAGGGTCCTGCCCTCTCCCCACTTCCTCTCCTGGTGCCGGAAAGCGCCCCCTACAGAATCAGTGAGAGTGCAGACTGTGTGTAAGCTAAAGGTTTGCCCTCCCGCCACCCTTTGCTCATTTGACAGCGCGACGCACCTCACCCGGTGCTGTGCACAGTGTGTGCCCGTGCCTGCCTGCCCCAGGGGCCCTGGGTCCCTCTGGCCACCTCATTACCACCTCTGCTGGCCTGGCAGCTCCTGGAGTGTCCCTACTGACTGCTGGTCCCACACTGCCACCCACTGGCCATTCCTCCCCTGGTTTTAATTGCAAATCCATACACAGATTGTCCCTTGGAGGGGAGCCCCTCCCTGCCCCCCAGGGATGGGCCTTGCTCCAGGATCTCCCCGGCCCTCCCCACCCAGAGCGGTCACCAGATAGGTCACAACAGTGCATAGCAGTGCCTTCCTCAAAGTTGGGTACAGTCTCTCCTCTTCTGAAGGACAGTCCACATGTGTAGTGTGTGTGTGTGTGTGTGTGTGTGTACTGAGCTCTCCCGGATACTCACTGGGCCCTGGTCACTGTAGGCTATTCCAAAGGCCTTAGTCCAGCGGTTCTCAACCTTCTGGCCCTTTAAATACAGTTCCTCATGTTGTGACCCAACCATAAAATTATTTTCGTGGCTACTTCATAGCTGTAATGCTGCTACTGTTATGAACCGTCATGTAAATATCTGATATGCAGGATAGTCTTAGGCGACCCCCGTGAAAGGGTCGTTCGACCGCCAAAGGGGTCGTGACCCACAGGTTGAGAACCGCTGCCTTAGTCCCATCCCGTGGGACATGCAGGTATCACGAGGTCCGTGTAGCAGAGTCCGCCCCCATGAGCCCACTCCTGCCCCAGCCCGGCCGTCCCAATACCGAGTCCTCCCCTGTGTGCAGGCGGCTGGGCAGACAGCTGCTGGAACAGGAGCAGTGCGAGGAGAAACCGTGTGTTCTGACTCCTGGGTTGTGGAGAGCAGCTACAGCGTTTGGACAGGTTCAAGCCCTGGAACTAATGAGAGGACACGATCCTCTCGTGGCAAAACCACGTGCAAGTCCAAAGGCTACAGTTGTAAGCTTGACCTTACGGTCCGAACCTGTGGTCCCACGTGGCTGAGTGATATAAGCTGCGGGAGGGGCAGCAAAGCTTATTAGGTGCATGTGGTTGAGTAGATTGACTCGAAACCTGCGAGAACATTGTAAACATCTTGACCACTCCCTTACTTTGCCTCCTGCAATCTGGCCATAAAATAAAGACTCGGCTTGCAGGCCTGGGCGCTGTCTCTCCATCCGAGAGGAGCGTCCCACCCAGCCCCAGCTTTATTCTCTTGTCTGTCTGCTTTAATCCTTCGCCGCCCCCCTCAGGTTCACCCCGGGCTGTGCCGGCTCGGCACACGGGGTTAAGTGCAAACATCTGTCTGCGTGGGACCCAAGTGGGGAGTGTGTGCTGTGTGAGCGCTGGCATTGGTTATGGAGACTGCAGGGGAGAGGCACCGCCACTCTCCTGACTTCGGATTTATTATAATCAAGTATTACTTATGGAATTTAAAAGTTTAGCCCGAGCTGGTTTGGCTCAGTGGATAGAGCATCGGCCTGTGGACTGAAGGGTCCCAGGTTCGATGCCAGTCAAGGGCACATGCTTGGGTTGTGGGCTCGACCCCCAGTAGGGGGCGTGCAGGAGGCAGCCGATCAATGGTTCTTTCTCATCATTGATGTTTCTATCTTTCCCTCTCCCTTCCTCTCTGAAATCAATAAAAATAAAAACATTTAAAAGTTTAATGAAAAGGACACCAGTTTAAGAAAAATTATAAAAATGTTAGAGGAATTGTAATCTAATGACATCCATTTTTATTTATTTTAAAATATATTGTTATTGATATCATAGAGGAAGGGAGAGGGAGAGAGAGAGAGTAACATCAATGATGAGAGAGAATCATGGATCGGCTGCCTCCTGCACGCCACATACTGGGGATCGAGCCTGAAACCCGGGCATGTGCCCTGACTGGGAATCAAACTGTGGCCTCCTGGTTCATAGGTCGATGCTCAACCCCTGAGCCACGCCGGCCAGGTATTAACTCCATTTGTAGAAAACAGGTTATCTCAGAGCATGCACTGAGATGCCCTGGGCTGGGAAGAGGACCCAGCCCCACCCTCAGCTGCCCAGTCCTTTGCGTGTGAGTGGGACGCTGTTCAGCCTCGGGTTCACCTGGCCCAAACCAGAGGGAGGGCCTTCTCCAGTTTCCAAGCAATGGAAGCTTCCAGATCTCAGGCTTCCTCCAAGGCTCTAAGGTCTCAGATCAGATTCTCAGACGGGGCTCAGGGACAGAGGTCCTGGGTCCAGCTGAGCATAAATGTGTGTGAGAGTGTGTGTTCTGTGTTCGTGCATGCTGGTGAGTCTGTGTGCATATGTGTACACATGTGTGGACATGTGTATATATGTGAGCCGTGTGAGAGTGTGTTTGTACATGTGGATGTGGAAGGGGTCAGGGAGTCACACAAGAGGAGAGCCTAGTTTGAGGGTAAGAGCTGTTCTTTGGGGTTGGGATGGGGGCTCCTGACCTCTGGCAGGCTGCTTGGCCTCTCAGGGTTTCTCTGTCTGTGTGTCTGCCGTGCAGGCTGTGCGGGGTGGGGACAACCCTCACTTTTCCAGTCCAGTGAGATCATTGGGTGCCCAGGTAGAGCACCCGCCCAGCGCC